AAAAAAAAAAAGAGAGAAGGGGATTCCGGCGGGACTCTGGAGGACATGACCAGATTATACCAGATGGAGGGTGCAAGAGAATTTGGAGACCGGATGGGTCAGGAGCCACCGGCGTAGTCCCCGGGGGTGGGGGGGGCAGGATCGATGAGGGTGTGTCCGCACCCAGCCCCATCCATTCCTTCCATCTGCCCCTCCAGGAGAGAGGTGTCCTCGCTGACCGCCAGGTGGTATCAGGAGGAGGGGGCGGTGCAGGAGGCCCTCCGGCTGCTCGGGGGCCTGGGCGGCAGGCTCGACGGCTTCCTGGGCCAGTGGGAGCGGGCGCAGCGCGAGCAGGCGCAGACGGCACGGGGCTTGCAGGATCTGCGAGGCCGGGCGGACGAGCTGTGCACCATGTAAGGGCGGGGCTGGTGCGTGGTGTGGGCTGTGAGAAGGCCGGGGAGGGGCAGGGCGCGGCCTTGAGGGAATGGGCTGGGCCAATCAACTGAGGCCAGGCGGCCCAGACCACATACTGACATGCGGAAGCGCCAATTAGAAAGCGGGAAGGGGCGTGTCTTATGTAATAAGGTCTTAGGGGTGGAGCCAATTAGAGAGGGGGGCGTGTTCCTTTTTTTTTTTTTTTTTTTTTTTGAGTTGGAGTCTCGCTCTCTGTCGCCCAGGCTGGAGGGCAGTGGCAGGCTCATGACCATCGCAGCCTCGACTTACTGGGCTCAGGTGATCCTTCCGTCTCAGCCTTCCAAGTAGCTGGAACCACAGGCAAGCGCCACCATGCCCGGCTAATTTTTAAAAATATTTATTGTAGGCCGGGCTCGGTGGCTCAGCCTGTAATCCCGCGCTTTGGGAGGCCGAGGTGAGTGAATTGCCTGAGCCCGTGGATTCGAGACTCGCCTGGGCAATTTGGCGAGACCTCATCTCTACAATAAATAAAAAATTAGCCAGGAGTGGTAGCAAGGCTGAGGCGGAAGGATCGCCAGAGCCCAGCAGGTTGAGGCTGCGGTGGTCAGGAGCGTGCCACTACACTCCAGTCTGGGCGACAGAGTGAGACTCCAGCTCAAAAAAAA